TTTTTTTTTTTTTTTTTTTCAAAGTAAAAAATGTTACTTTCTGTCTGAAGTATGGTTGTGAGGATTTCTGGAGGTTGAAGTGTTAACCTTGAAATTAATGTACTGAATAACAGTAGACAATATTAGCCCAGGTGTGTCAAAAAGGTTGAACATTAAAGGAAAAAAAATTGCAAAAGTCTTCTTGTTGATTATTAGCATTAATATACAGTGGTGTGTAACATGTACATGTACCTGGCTTATTTTTTCTGCGGTTTTTGCAGTGGAAATGAAAAATTTGCAGAGATCAGAGCAGGCTTACATTCTAGTCTTGTAGCTTCTTGGCATGGATTCCTCATAGCTACGCCACCCCCACTCTTGCTCCAACGCACAGGCTATTGATAGCCCTCTAACACAACACGAAATTAGTTCAGCAGTAAGTTAGTGTAAGATACAGGGGAATCTTTGTTTACAGTGTTTGCGTCATTAGCATAGTTTCTGATCAAGCTACAAAAATATTTCTTCTGAATATTATTTTATTGATAGGGCATAGCAAGATTAACTCTCCCAAGGCATGAAGCAGAAATATTAATACTTTTTGTGACCTGGGTTTAAATAATGACAATTTTACAAAGAATGTAGTGCTTTTGCCACAGAAATTTTGCAGTTCTTGAAAGCCATATTCTCCTCGACTATGCCTAAAGGTCTCTAATTACTAAGTTTCACAGGCTTTGTAATGTTTGGAGTCAATTTGTATCTAGCATGAATCAACTGCAGAAAGTTGTATGTCGATGCAGGGACATCAATGCTCATGAGTCTTGTACACTGATCTGTACTCGTGGAACATCACAAAGTGTTCAAAGCAATGCCAGTATCATTCCTGTTCTTGTGTATTTGCACTTTTTCAATCCTGCTGTAAAACCCCATGCAAATTTCCTCAAAGCATATTTCGTGGGAGATGAAGAGTACAAATGGTTGCCGCAATAAGCTCTTGTGGGAGTTGCCTCGGTGAAATGGAAAACTTGGCAAGTAGAGAGATTTGCTTTCTCAGTCTGAGAACCCAGTGCTGTTGGATTGTGATCTTTTGCATGTGCAACAGGTTAGGGAAAGGTTTGGGAAAATTTTGATGCTACTCAAATTGCAATACTGTGACTTCAGAAGTTGGTTCATAGCTCCACAAACAGGTTTACAAGCAATTGCAGTCTTGGCTGGAAGGAAGACTACCCACAAAGCCCCCTCCATGATGCCAAGATCAACTTGAAAGAATAGTGGTGGGACCAGAAAAACATTTTGTTATCAGCAAGCTTTTATGACCAGGGAACAGCTATAGGTACTGCATAACTGGGGCCCTAATTTTGAATAACAATACTTAATTCATTATATATACCCACTAAGCCTCTAGTTAATGTTTCCAGACAAGGAATTTTCACATGAATGCAAGGCTTAGGGTGGTTAAGCATCAGCACCATTTATGCCAAGGGTCTATTCCAGTTAACTAACAGAGAAAGAAACGGCCAAATAACACTGCTAACGACCATAACTCTGAGGCATATATTGATTTGATTGCAAACTTAATCAAGAAGAGTAATTTAATCAGTAGTGTTCAGATTGGATTATTGTCGAGCACACAGGCTCTTGCAAATATTGAGAATGAGACCTAGGATTGGCCTGTTCATTGCTTCATATTGTAACATGCCCAGTAAGCCATGAAAGAATTGAGATTCTTAAAAACTGAGTCTTTTTAAAGTATTTGAGCTATTATACCATGCCTTACAAATATGGCAAGCATACACATGATTATTTGGGGGCATTTTTATTCTTATTCTATTTTAGTTTTTATTTTGGGAGCGTTTCTATTAAAACATTTATTCCACTTGCACTTGTTGGATATGAGATGATTATAGCCAACTTGGCCCTACATGCCTTGGCTATTTATGATCTCATAACAACGTTCACTCATGGAATAATTGTTAATGAAAACCTTTTTCCCTCTTCAGGACAAACTTGCTTACATTACCTTATGCCAGACCAAAACTCATAACTCCATTTGCATTGAGGCTTGGACAATTTGTTCCACAGGGGTATGGGACTGTTTGCATCCAGGGGGGTGAGACTCCAAGATAGAAAGGATGGGGGTGCTCACCGCACCTTTTAGGGGTTGAAAAAGCAGTTTTGGTACCTCTTGGGGTATTGAGCCTCAAAAGGCACACATCGGGAGCTTTTACTGTACCTTGGGGTGTTGAGCCAAAAAAAATATGACGATGATAACAAGCCACCCCCACCAGGCAGGATCTTGGTACCTCTGAGGGCTTTTTTCCAAATTTTCAACGAGCCCCCCCGTCCATTTTATATGGGAGCCCCCTTCCAGGAGTTTGAATTATGGTCTTGTCCAGTGGTTGCATAGCCATGGATGAATTTAAGTTTTCAAAGATCAATATGAACAAGGAATTTAGTACTGTATGGTCAATGAGATCTATGTTATCTTGTCAAAGTTAAAGAATTGTCTATTGGGGAAATTTTGCTTTCTTTTCTGCAAAAAGTTGAGTAGAGTATTGTGAGTGGTAATTGTATTTTTTTTAGGGGAATACCTAGTTTGCTGAGTTATTAATGAACACACGTTTACTCCAGATACATTAAATAATGGTTAAAAAAAGTCTGCATGCGAGCCAAGTGGCCCATCAGGCCGGAGCTTATCCCGGTTTCTGTAGCATGAAGCGACTAGGAGTATTTCTACTGGG